CTGCACTTATTAATACACATGTATGACAATGAAGCTCTACTACACATTTAAGAGCCAATAGTTTAAAGAAAAGGACACAGAAAAAAGATAAAACGAAGAAAAAATAGATAAAAATTCCATAAAAACCTCAACTAATATCCTGATAGAATAGGATATTATATTAAATAACTCAGAATAAATTCAATTCAAAATAAGTAATCAGAAAATAAGAGAGTAATTTAAAGATAAGCAATGGCAAATTTAAAAGTTCTAAAATAAATAAACTCATAAGTAGAAAGGATACAACTATAAGCAAAACCCATAATCTGGATGGTAAGATTAGAAAACAAAATGAAACAAAACCTAACTATTAAAAACTGAAAGAAAAGCAAAGACAAATATTTTTAATATTGTGATAGAAAGGTTTTCCCAAGGACATAAACTCTAGACCCACATGGAAAACTCTTCAAGGTGACCTCTTCTTTTTGCACAAATTTAGGTAATTCACATTTTGTTAACAAGTTGGATTACTTCTTACATTTTATTTTGTTGTGGTAATTTTGTTACTGGTATTCTATTCTACTGTCGTTCATATTGAGTGCTTTGTTCTTTATTTACTATGTATTTTATTTACTGCTCTTGATTATTGATGTTCTACTTTGCTATTTGCTTTCACAAGGAACTAGATTTGGGATTTATTTGTTCTTTCTCTAATTTTGAGATTTTCATATTACTTTTCTCATTTTACATTAAAGCCTTTTTTTTTAGGCTTTCATTCTATTTTTTGTTGTTCTCTTTAAACTGTTAAAGTAAATAATAGGTTTAATTTTTTTAATAATTAAGAAATTTAATACCATACAAATTTTGAGTTTAGATTTTATTGCTCCTTTTCGTTGTTTTCTAGATAGTTTGTCATTGCACTTTTAATCTTGATTTTATTAGGGATGTCTTTATGGTGTTATTCTTAACTTTACAAGTTCATTTTTTGCTCTGAAAGTGTTCACATTATAAAAACCTCAGATAGAGTGGGAGGAAATGTAGAACAAAAGGCAAAATTATAAAAAAAAGACTGGGCTTTCTGGGCAGAAAGAAACTGGAAGAACCTGAGACTGTGACCATCGCAACCAGAATATAAATAAATAGTGGCAAAGTATTTCCTTGACTTTAAGCAAAACTTGAATATATATTAGTGAGAGATTTAAGTTCCTATATTGTTGTTACTGTTAAGTGCCATTGAATCTGTTCTGACTCCTAGCGATCCTGTACAGTTTCCAAGGAGTGGCTGGTGAATTTGCAAGACCAACTTCGCAGTTCAAAAGTATCTTTGGGTCTACTGCATCATCCCGTAGCACCACATTTCTATATGTAACTGTTAAAATCAAGTTTAAGTAAAATTAATTTCTTTAGGTTTAATGTGTGCTTTGTGTGGCGCTGTGGGTTAATGCGGTAGAATGCAAAGCCATTTGAACTACAAGGTTGATGGTTCAAGCTCACCAGCTGCTCCTAGGAAACCCTATACAGGGTCGTTATGGGTTGGAATCGACTCCATGGCACTTAACAACAACTATTATTGTTAGGAGCTGTTGAGTTGATTCCGACCTATAGGGACCCTATGTACAACAGAAACAAACACTGCCCCATCCTTCACCATCCTAACAACTGCTACCACGCTGAGCCTTTGCTGTTGGCAATATGAAGTCTTTGACAACTTCAACCTTTTCTCCATTTATCTTAATGTTATTTATTGGTGAGGATTTTGTTTCCTTTCCATTGAGGTGCAACTCATACCGAATGCTGGGATCATTAATTTTTAAGTATTTTAAGTATTATTTAGTAAGTATTTTAAGTCCTCTTCGCTTTCAGCAAGTAAGTTTGTATCATCTACATATCACTGGTTGCTAATGACTTTTTCTCTAACCCTGATGCCATGTTCTTCTTCATATGATCCACCTCCTGAGATTATCTACTCAGCATACAGACTGAATGAATATGGTGAAAGTGTACAATGCTGGCGTACACCTTGTTTTCAATAAACCATTCAATGTCCTCTGGTTCTGTTTGAACTGCCTCTTGGTCTAAGTACAGGTTCCTCATCAGTACAATGAAGTGTTCTTGAATACTCATTCTCTATAATAGTGCTTGCTATCAGATTATTGTAATTCTTTAAGATATATATTACAATGTACTATACTTGTATTTTTATCTTGTTGTTTTTGCAGTTAAATTGTTGTCGTTAAGTGCTGTTAAGTTGGTTCTGACTCGTAGTAACATTGTATAGTGTTTCTGAGGAGCAGCTTATGGGTCTGAACTGCTCACCTTGCAGTCCTATGCTTTATCTGACAGTGCAAGAATTATGGCTTTATCCTGGAGTGGCGCTGTGAGTTAATGTGCCAGACTGCAAAGCCATTTGAACTGCAAGGTCAGCAGTTCAGGCTCACCAGCAGCTCCTTGGAAACCATATACAGGATCACTATGGGTCAGAATTGACTCCATGGCACTTAACAACAACAACAACAACAACACAGTTTGTATGTTATTTGTATGAACTGTTGTTGTTGTTGTTAGGTGCCTCGAGTCAGTACCGACTCATAGTGAATCCTATGCACTGCAGAAAGAAACACTGCCCGGTCCTGTGCTAAATCTTTGCTACGTCTTAGGCCACTGCTGCTACCACTGTGCCAATCCATCTAATCAGGGGTCTTTCTCTGTTTCTCCAACCCTCTACTTTACCAAACATGATATTCTTTCTCCAGGGACTGGTCCTTCTTAATAATATGTCCAAAGTCTAAGAGACAAAGTTTGGCCATCCTGGCTTCCAGGGAGCATTTCTTCCAACACAGATTGGTTTGTTTTTTTGGTAGGCCATGGTACTTTTAATATTCTCTCCAACACCATAATTCAAATGCCTCAATTCTTCTACAGTCTTCCTTATTCACTGTCCAACTTTCACATGCATATGAGGTTACTGAAAATACCATGTCTTGGATCAGGCGCACCTTAGTCCTCATACTGACATCTTTGCTCTTCAAAACTCTGAAGAGGTTTTATGCAGCAGATCTGTCTAATGAAATACATCATTTAATTTCTTGACTGCTGCTTTTGTGAGTAGATCTTATTAATAACGTACTTCTTTTAACTTTCAATCTCTTTCTTTATCTTCGTATGTTACCTTTAAGCTTTAACCTTAATAGAAATTTGTTTTGTCATTTTTGTTTAGCTTTTGCTTGCACTTGCCTGATATTTGTGTCTATCACTTTATTTCAAACTTCAGCTAAAATTTCTTATGTTTCTATTTCTATACTATCATTTAATTTTTTAATTTAGTTTCTTTTTTTTTTTTTTAAACTTATTTTTACAGGTTTGATCAAGTTGCTATTTATTCATTTTTATCCTTTTGCAAATTTGGAAGTTCAATGATATCACTAGTATCCTTTAGTCTTACAGTTCCATACTATTTTAATTGGAAAACAAGTTTTAAGTGACTCTTTCCTTACTTAATCTACTTACTCTCCTATCCAACTAAGAAGAGATCCAAGAATAGGACAGGATGTACTTCACTTCCGTATCTTCTCTCTTCAGTGCTACGTTGTTGTTGTTATAAGTGCAGTCATGACTCACAAGAACCCTCTATAGGGTTTCCAAGACTTTAAATCTTTGTGGGAGCAAATAGCCTAAATAACTTTACATCCCCCTTTCCCTCCCTCCCTCCAACTCCTGAAGTTTGATAACAACAGATTTATTATTAAACTTTTGGTTTTAATTTTTCAGAAGAAGATCACCAGGCCTTTCTTCCAAGGTGCCTCTGGGTGGATTAGAACCTCTAATCTTTTGTATCATTTGCAATAGGCAGGGCCTCTTGATAATATAGTCTAGAATTAAGACTAAACTCTTAATAGAATTAGCCTTGTGGTATTCCTTCTGTTTCTAAAGTCCATACATAGATAGCACTTAAACATTTTTAGAGAATATATAATTATTCACCATTTAATGTTTTGTGTTTTAATCTTGTCCCACTCCACCACAAATCTTCAAGTTCCATTAGGATTGTTTATTTTCAAGTGTTTTGGGGAGTATTTTCCTTAATTTTGGCTCATAGATAGCTATTTTCCCCACTGGCTTTAGTACACTGGATAGGTTTTCTTTTGGTTCTCAGTGAATTTCTTTATCTGAAAGATGGATTCACTGGAGCTCAGGTCTTGTTAATGGAGAACAACCATGAAACTCAAGTATAGTTTGGTAGGTGCATTGCTGTTTTGTTACATTTGTCCTCTCACCCCAGCAAACCAGCTTCATGCAGAAATGTGAATATACAAGCAGGTTCTGTAATACACTTTTTTTAACTGTAAAATTATATTGATCATCTATAAAGCAATGTTTAAATAAATTATGGTATATTTTAATCTGGATTCTCATAACTGTTAATGAAGTAGATTCTTCACATACGTTTTCTAAAAATGTCCACTATAAATTAAAGAAATTTTAAAAACTATACTATGGTAGCATTCACATTCATTGCATTCAACAAAAAAGCTGTAATGTTAGATTGCCTAATACAAATATTGCAATTAAACTGTCATGCATGCTTTTAATAAGAGGTATCAAATTATGTATCAATAGAAAAATAGTAAATGCAAATTTTGTAGTTTTAATTGAACTTATGAACAGATTATTATGCATTATACAATAGAGTATCTTTAATTACAATCATCCATCTTTAGTAAAGGTACTATTTTAAAGAAAGATGGGAAATAAAATGAATTCCATCAAAAATCTATTAACTTAAGGTTTTACTGCTAAAATTATCTAGAATATTATCAGTGTAGATTTGGTCACAGACCCCTGGAAGGTACTGGTTAATCAGAAGGTACTGATTAACTGATACAATTTGTGGGGAAATTCTGAAGCGAATTTCCCCATAAATTATATGATAAACAGTCAAATATATTTTAAAATTGGTTTATAGATTGTAGTATAAAAGAAGCTACTATTTAGAACTAATTTTAATATTTACTTGATAAAACAAAGTCCATACTCACAACTAGCAGAATGAACTGGTCCAAGTTGTGAAAAGGTCATAACCACAGAAACGCCTGGGAGATCCCTTTGCTTTGGATGGTCATCAGTTTGGTCAGCCCAAGCCACCATTTTTTTCCTCTCAACTAAATGCTGAATTACTCTGAAGTCAGATTCAAAAGCAGCAGTTGAAAGGCCAGCTTCTTTTAATGCGCACCACTGTTTTCTGAAGGCTGGAAGTAAAGTATTCAATACTCTGTATACAGAAATAAATAAATTTCAAAAAGAGATTAAAAACTCATTATGTCATTCTGAGTATCACTCAAAGTATGAACAGATCATCAAAATGATTCCTCATATGTTTTCTTTCAGAATATGTTTTATCAATAAAATACCTCTACACACATTTAGAATAGAAAGAATCTGAAATACAAATTACAAGAATTAGGCTGTAGTTACTTTTCACATCTATATGTCAGCGTGTCCTTTTTCATGTCTGTCTGATCTTGGACGAGGTGCACGCTGTAGTTTCTTTTCTATAAGTAGTGGACAACTTGACATAGGCATTTGCTCTACTTATGTGAGAGAAATCTTTTGAAAACTTGGTAAGCTGAATATTTATAAAGCCATTTTGCAAAGCATATTTTACTCAAAAAAAAAAAAACCCCAAAAAACTACAGATATTGTTATTATGAATAATTACCATCGGACTGAAATGAAATTTTTTTTTTTTTCATTTCATATGTCATATGATGATATTCACATTTTGTTGAATAACATTAAAACAAAAACAACAAAAACCAAACTAACAAAAGAGTAAAATTCAACTTTCCATCAAGTTACCTCTTCCTAACATAAAGCAATAATTTTCAGATAGGAATTAAAATTTTAAGAAAAGTTCTAGACAGGGATGGTGGACATGCGGAATGTTTGTGAACTGGAATCTTGACTCTAACTTAAAACCTTACCTTTCCTGTCAATCAGAGCAAGTACTGAATTAATCCTTTTATGTATTAGACCTCTGTGTAAGCTTTCACTGAAGAAAGTAAGTCACACTAACAGCTGATAATTTGTAAACACACTCAATGGTTTTCAACTTTTATATTGAGACACCAAAAAATATGAATGGTCTTGAGACAATTCAGTCCAGGTGTATAAATGAACATATGATGTGTCAGTTGAATCCTGGTGTGGCACTGCTTACCACCTACTAGGTCAGCAGTTCAAATCAACCAGCTGCTCCACAGAAACCCAATTCAGAGTCTCTATGAACACTTTAACAGCATTGTTTGACTCATAACACCCAGGAAAATAGAACTATTTGAAATATGTATGGATAAGACAGTAGAAAAAGAATAGTTAAGCATTAAGACATGAGGAAATTAGCATTTTTAATTTAGTTGTCTAAAATACTTAGGTATAAGTAATGGTTAAGCACTTGACTGCTAACCGAAAGGTCTGCAGTTAAAATTCACCAGATGGTTCCATGAAAAACCAGTTGAATTGCTCTCATAAAGATTGTTGTTGTTGTAAAGTGCCATCGAGTCTATTCCGACCCACAGCGACCCTGTATAGGGTTTCCAAGGAGAAGCTGGTGAGCTTAAACCGCCAACCTTGCAGTTCAACCGGTTTTGCAGTCTGGCACATTAACCCACAGTGCCACACCAGGATAGGTAGCCCTATCTGTTGTTGCCATTGAGTTGGTTCCTACTCATAGGATTTCTGAAGCTGTATCTTTGTAGGAGCAGAAAGTCTCATCTTTTTTCTCAGAGCAAATGGTGGGCTCGAACTGCACACCTTGGAGTTCACAGTTCAGTGCTTATCTTACAGAGCTACCATGCTCCTGTGGACGCCACGTGCTGCTTTTGTTGTTAAGTGCCATTAAGTCAGTTCTGACCCAGAGCAATCCTGTATAGGGTTTCTGAGGTTTAAACCACCGACCTTGTGGTTTTCAGTCCAATGTTTACTATAGTGCCACATCAGGACTCCTATAGGGCAATTCTCTTCTATCATCGATTCACTAATAGTCAGAATTGAGTAAATGACATGAAACAACAATAAATAGTTGTGATCTTTTTCTGTGGTGGTAAGGTACTCTATTTAAGCAAGTAGACAACAAGTATAGAGAAAAAAGTAATCTATTAATCAGAAAGTAAATAAGGACAATTATTTATTGAACACTTACAATAATTACACATTGTACAAAAAAGAGTCAACAACTTCTGTTCTTAAAAAGACCGGATTCCCTAATTTACTTTTACTGGATAAAGGTTAGAATTCCCTTTTGGCCATTATTGAGGCAAAAACTTATATGAAATGTATTCATATAAAATGTATAAATGTACTCATCTGCTATAGCAAATAAACCCCAAAAGACAGTTCTAATTCACAGTGACACTACATACAGTATAATTAAAACACATAATGTTTAATGATGTTGGCACTTGTAAGTGGTTTGACTGGTAGTAAGGTTTAACTTCTGGAAAGTTGTATATCGGGTTGTATCTTTTCACCATATTTATTCAATCTTTATGCTGAGCAAGAAGCTCAATTATATGAAGAAGAACATCAGGATAGGAGGAAGTTTATTAACAACCTGTGATATGCAGATGATATACCCTTGCTTGCTGAAAACGAAAAGAATTTGGAACACTACTGATGAAGGTCAGACTACAGCTCTCAGTATGGATTATACCTCAACAAGAAAGCAAAAATCCTAGTGACTGGATTAATAAGCATTATCATGATAAATGGAAATAAGAATGAAGCTGTCAAGGATTTAATTTTCTTGGATCCATAATCAACATTCATGGAAACAGCATTTAAGAACTCAAAGGACACATTACTGGGTATATCTGTTGTACAAGAACCTCTTTAAAGTTTACAAAAGCAAAATGCCACTTGGAAGAGTAAAATGTCTGACCCAAGGGATCATGTTTTCAGTTGACTCATATACATACAATTGCTGGAAAATGACTTAAGGAAGGTGGGCCAGAGAAAAGTGGATGCATTTGAATTATGGTGTTTTTGAAGAATATTTAAATTATTATAGACTTTCAGAGCAAACAAATATATTTTGGATGTAGTAATGTCAGACTGCTCCTCAGAAGTGAATGTTCCTGGTAAAGGATATTATTAAGTATGTTGTTAAATGCCATCGAGTCAGTTCCGACCCATAGTGACCCTGTACAGGGTTTCCGAGGAGCGGCTGGTGAGCTTGAACCAGCGACCTTGAAGTACAAATGGCTTTGCAGTCCAGTGTATTAACAGTGGCTGTACCACAGAGCTCAAACGTAACAATGACTACAAGGATGGTGCATGATTGGGTAATGTTGCTTTCTGTTGTACATATACTGTAAGTCAGAACCAACTGGACAGCACCTAATAACAACAAATAAAATTTCAGTGTCTGTCCTACGTGTAGGTATACGAGACACTACAGAAAATATTCCTAAAAGTATACTTTTTCCAGCTATAGATATAGAAAGCATGGAAAGATGAGGATGAGCTTCTATGCACAGAAAAATCTTGCCTTGAAATTTTTCTCTTCCTTTTTCTACTTCTTTGGAAAACTGGCTGACCCAAATAAGGTTTCCTCTAAGTCAAAGTATGGACTTCTGATGTGGCACTGTAGGTAGGATCAGCACTGGATGGGAAACTACAAGGTCAGCAGTTCTAACCCACCAGCGGTTCCTAGGAAACTATGCAGGGTCACTATGAGTTGGAACCGACTCAACGGCACTGAACAACAAGAATTCAAAGTATAAAAAAATTATAAATGTTATTAGCTATTTGAGTGGCTGTTGAGTTTGAACCGCTGAGCTTTGTTGTTGTGTGGCATTGAATTGGGTCTGTCTAATAGCATCCTTGTACGGGGTTTCCAAGCCTGTAACTCTTTACAGGAGCTGAACATCTCATTTTTATCTTGCAGAGTGGCTGGTTGATTTGAACTTCTGACCTTGCAGTTAGCAGCCCAACATGTAACCCACTGTGTCACCAGTGCTCTTTGCAGAAAGCAATTTAATATATTACCCATTTTTACAGAGCATAAAAATAAGGCCCAAGGAGTTGACTATGCAAGGTGATAAAACTACTCAATTTTACTTTTTTTTTAGTACATGCTGAAAAAATTCTGCGTAAATAAAGGGAGCATGCCTGACGTTAAAAATTTTTCAAATTTTAAGTAACTTAATTTTAAAGACAGGAAAAAAATAACTCTAGAATTATACTTAAAAATGGCCTACTTAAAATTCAGCTGGTGTTAATAGTAATTATCTCATGAAAGGGCGGTAGCTAGAGGCAAGACGAGGAGGCAGACACATTTTCACCATGCACCTTTTGAGCATTGGCTATAAAAATGACATGTGGGCAGCACCTGACCTCATATGAGTTTACAAAGGGGAAGGAGAATCAAACCTAATAGGAGCCCAAGGCCAATTCCTGTGGGCTAAGGCTCCATGTTCCAGCACACTGCCTGGTCCTGTGCCACCCTCACAAGTTTTGCTGTTTGAGCCCATTGTTGCAGTCACTGTATCAAATCATCTTGCTGAGAGTCTACCCCCTTTTCCATAGCCCTTAATTATAACAACCAAACAAGATATTCCTCTGCAGGAACGTTCTGATAAAACAGCCACAGTACATGAGACCAAGTCTCCCCAACCTTGCTGCACAGGAAATTTCTGACTGTCCTTCCTTCAATAGAGAATTGTTTGTTATTCTGGCAGCCCATAATATACTACATATTCTTCAACACTGTAATTTATAGTCATCAATATTTGGATCTTCCTTATTCATTATCCAGCTTTTGCTTGCATATAAGGGATTTGCAGGCTATCCACTAGACTGTTATGCACAAGGTTGACAGTTTAAAACCACCAGCTGTTCCTTGGAAACTCTGTAATGGTTGCTAAGAGTCAGAACTGACTCTAACGCTCTTAATAGCAACAAGGTGATTGAAATATCATGGCTTGGGTCAGGCATACATTAGTCCTCAAAGTGAGAACTTTGCCTTTAAATACTTTAAATAGGTATGTTGTGGCAGATGGGCCTGTTGCAGTACATCAGTTGATTTATTGACTGCTATTTCCATGGGCTTTGATAGTGGATCCATGTGAACTGAAATTCTTCACAACTTCATTATTTCTGCATTTATCAGGATGTTACTTATTGGCCCAGTTATAAAGATTTTTGTTTTTTTTATGTTGAGGTGTAATCCATACTGAAGAGTCTAGTGTTTGCGCTTGATCAGAAGTGTTCCAATTCCTCTTAGCTTTCAGTAAGAAAGGTTGTGTCATCTGCATATTGTTGTCGTTGTTGTTATAGCAGGTTGTTAATTAGTCTTTTTCAAATCCTGATGCCAGATTCTTTTTCATAGAGGTCAGCTTCTGGGATATTTGTTCAGTATATTTACACTTTTCCACAGTTATTCAAAACTATAAAGCATTGTAAAAAAATTGTTGGAGGGAAAGAATCTCATACAATGTGAGTTTAAAAACAGTAGAAGACAAAATAGGATAACTGGAATGTCAAAAAATTATGTGTATCAAAAGATTTTGCAAAAAGAGTAAAAAGGAAGCCAATAGAGTGGGATAATTTTTTTTGCAATGACATATCAGACAAGGATTAATCTCTAAAATGTATAGAAAACTTAAACAACTCTACAACAGAAACAACTCAAATAAAAATGGGCACAAGAGACCATCCTATAGCAGCTAGAACAGAAGATGCTTCTTGAAAGAAAGACAAACACAGGAAAAAAAAAATAATAATGGCAGTCTCATTGACTATTATAAGAACAACCAAGCTGTTCGCCTGGGAGCCATCAAGGCAAGTGGTCGGATCCCCTCAGAGAAAATCCCCTTCTAAGACTAAGACTCAAGGGGAATACATGTGCAAGCATGTGAACTGGCTGGTGACCATGTTGGTCACTGATAAGGGGAAGTGGGGGAAAACACCAATGAAGTTGTGAGCTACGTCCGACCACGTTCAACAGATTCCTGTGAACCTGGGTTGAGACCTGATTGTCCAGCAGTATGGCAAGACCTGGAGATTCCTGGGCCCAGGGACAGTGACACGGCCACAGAAGACTACAGCAGAGAGTGAAGCATCAAGTTGATATGAAGTGAGGGGAGATGCACAAGAACACCCATACTTGCAGATAGTACCCACCTGACCTGGCTTCAATGGCTGGATTATCAGAACTTGACTAGTAGAAGAAAGAAGAGGAAAAAAAATAGTAATCTGATACAATTTGATAACTTGACCTATACATATGGATGTAATAGCTAAAAAGAGGGAATAAATCTTTACAGCAAGGATCATTCCCAACCCCTCAGTACACAGGGTTGATAGGGATGGGCAACTTAAGATACTGGCTACCTAAAATGGGGGAAGGGGGAGCTACAAAGGCAAGAAGTGACTGGCTTACAAGTTTTCAAGAGGGAGCCTAGTTCCAGAGGGTGCGGGGTAAGGTAGAATCTCCCAGAGTGGTTTCCAACATGTCTGAACCAGGCTGGTGAAAGCAGATGGGGATAAGACTCTTGTGGTACAATAGTGAATAACTGCTATCAGGATTGACTATGAGGGTCAGAAATGTAAAGATAGATGTTTTGTAACAAAAGGAGGGGTGTGGTTGATTTTGCAGTCCAGGAGCAGAAGTCCCTGGGATCCATCAAGGGAGAAGAGAAGAGTGTGGGACCCTACCCAGAGAAGCAGTGATGCCAGAGATGGAGGCAGAGATGATGATGTGGAGATATGGAGTGGTTGGGGATTCTGGACTCAGGGAGAGAGGGGGGCTGTGTGCTGACCGCCTGGAGGCAGGCTTGCAGGCTATACCCTTTGATTGTTTGAAGATGCATGGAGGGGACTGTAATCATTGCAATGATTTGAAATACGATAGGATGAATGTAAAGCTGGCGTTCTCCCATGTAAACTATCACATAATTCACACACACACAAAAAAAAATGGGCACAGGACATGAACAGGGGATAGAGGTAAATGGGGATACACACACAATCTTGGAACAACAATTTGTGTAGATATACAGACAGAGACACAGACTTACTGGGTATGGGAGTTAGAGTGGGATATATACATCCATGGAGTCCTGGTGTGGCAATGTGGGTTAATGCGCTGGACTGCAAAGTGGGTCTGAACTCTGAGGTCATTGGGTCAACTCACCAGCCACTACCTGGAAACCCTATAACGACTCACTATGTGTAGGAACCGACTTAATGGCACTTAACAATATACATACACATTTTGTTGTTGTTGTTAAGTGCTGTCAAGTCGGTTCTGACCCATAATGACCCTGTATAGGGTTTCTGAGGAGTAGCTGGTGAGGTTGAACCACTGACTTTGCAGTTCAAATGGTTTTGCAGTCTGAAAAGGACTCCACACACACACACACACACACACACACACACACACACACACATATATACGCATACAAATATATATTTACATATTCCACAAATACATAATGGACTCCTGGAGTGACACTGGAGGATCAGCACTGGACTGAGAACCACAAGGCTGGCGGTTCAAATCCACCAGCTGCTTCTCAGAAACCCTGTATAGGGTCGTATGGGTTGGAACTGACTTGACAGCACTTAATAACAAAATACATATAACAGTTGGAAAGACAGTATTTGTACATGGATAACCACAGAGAGGAAGTGGGACAAATACTGTTTAGAGGAGATTGCAATCATTGAGATTAAACAAAGTATAGGACTTACTGAAAGTAAAACCGATGATCTTGTCTGTAAAATTTTACTCAGTTCACAATACAGTTCAATAAATAAATATGGAAAAGAAAAGAAAAATTTCATGGAAAAGGGGTTGAAATTTTCTATAAACTTTTAAAGTTCCAGCTTTCTACTCTCAAGTTTTTTCCCCCATGTTTTCTGATGTTGGCAGATATTAATGTATTCCATTCTAGAAAGAAAAAATCAATTTTCTGTTACAATGAAAAAAGATAAATTCTATGATTCAAAGTATCTTGGGTCCAGAGTGTTAAAATCTGTTGCATAGACAAAGCCATGTACTTACATCTCTGTCTGATTATAATGCTGTTCTTGAAGACTTATTAGATCCATTGTATGCTGAATTTGTGCTTTCAAATCTTTGTTTTGGAGGTGTAAATGGTGATATCGAAGATCTTTATTGAGTTCCTAGAGAAAACAATACAAAGTATACATCAGATTGTATCAAATATTTTAAAAATAAAGGACATTATAATAAAATTAATTTTCTATTGTTCATATCTTTATCTTATAACCCTTTTTGTTTCTGTAAAAAAGTAAAATCTCCACTTCCATTTCTAAACTTGTTGTTGTTGTTGTTAAGTGCCGTCGAGTCGGTTCCGACCCATAGCGACCCTAGTTATTTGCATTGTCTATTTTATTTCCTGTCAGTTTATGTTTATCTAAAGGTTTCTTGATTATAATGATCTTTTCAGGGAACCAACAACTTCTGGTTTCACTGTTCACTTTTTTCTATTGTGTATTTTACTTATCACTGCTTTTATTTTTGATATTTCTTTCCTTCTGTTAACTTTGTGCTTAGTTTACTCTCTTCTTCTGATTCTACAAATTCTAATATTAGGTTATTGATATGTGATCTTTATAGAATTTTAAAGTAGGTGATCACTGCTAAAAATATTCATTTGAATAGGGATAAATGTGAGAGCTCTAATACAGGGCATACACAGACTACCAAACATTTTGAAAATTACACAAACAAAAGTAAACAAAATAAATGATTGGGACATACTAAAATTTTTAAAATTATGTGCATCACAAACTTCACCAAAAGAGTAAAAATGGAACACAGAATGGAAAAAAATCTTTTGCAATGACACATCAGACAAGGGATTCATTTCTAAAATAGATAGGAAACTACAACCAACACCTCTACAAGAAAAAGACAAATAAACCAATTAAAAAATGGGCACAGGACATGAACAGACACTTCACCAAAGAGGAGATCAGGCAGCCAACAAACATGAAGAAATGTTCATGATTACTAGCCATT